GAGTTTTAGTAATCTTTCTTTTACATAAGTGGGTGCTTTTACATTAGGGGCATAGATATTCAGGATTGAGACTTTATCCTGATGGATTGTTTCTGTTATGAGTATTAAATGTTCGTCTCCATCTCTTCTGATTGATTTTAGTTTGAAGTCAACTTTGTTAGAAATTAGGATGGCCACATTTGCTTGTTTCTTAGGTCCATTTGCTGATAAAACTTTTTCCCAGCCCTTTACTCTGAGTAGATGTCTGTCTTTGTGGTTGAGGTGTGTTTCTTGTAAACAGCAGAATTATGGATCTTGTTTTCGTATCCAATCTCTTAGCCTGTGCCTTTTTATAGGTGAGTTGAGCCCATTGACATTAAGTGATATTAATGACCAGTGTTTGTTGACTCCGGTTATTGTTATTGTTTTTGGTAGTAGAGTTTGTGTGTTTCCCTTCTTTGAGTTGTGCTGGTGAAGGGTCTCTACATGTCTGAGTTATTGTCGTCAGTGTTGGCAATGCTGGATTCTTTGGGTTGTGATTTTCCTTCTATTACTTTCTGTAAGACTGGATTTGTGGCTACGTATTGTTTAAATTTGTTTTTATCCTGGAAAATTTTGTTTTCTCCATTGATAGTGAATGATAGCTTGGCTGGGTATAGCAGTCTGGGCTTGCATCCATGGTCTCTTAGTTTCTGCAGTACATCTATCCAGGACCTTCTGGGTTTAATGTTTTCCATAGAGAAGTCAAGTATAAATCTGATAGGTTTACCTTCATAAGTAACTTGACCTTTTTCCTTTGCAGCTCTTAATATTCTTTCTTTATTCTGTATGTTTTGTTTTTTGATTATGATATGCTGAGGCGATGTTTTTTTCTTGATCCAGTGTGTTCGGTGTTCTGTATGCTTTTTGAACCTTCATAGGAATGTTTTTCTTTAGGTTGGGAAAGTTTCCTTCTATAATTTTATTTATTTATTTATTTATTTATTTATTTTTGGTTTTTCGAGACAGGGTTTCTCTGTGGCTTTGGAGCCTGTCCTGGAACTAGCTCTTGTTGACCAGGCTGGTTTCGAACTCACAGAGATCCGCCTGCCTCTACCTCCCAAGTGCTGGGATTAAAGGTGTGTGCCACCACCACCCGGCCTATAATTTTATTAAATATATTTTCTGAACCATTGATCTGTACTTTTCCTTCTTCTACCCCTATTTTTCTTAGTTTTGGTCATTTTATTGTGTCCCAGATTTCCTGAATGTTTTGTGATGAGCATTTGTTGTATTTGCTGTTTTCTTTGTTCAGTGCATTCATTTTCTCTGTGGTATCTTCAGTGTCTGAGATTCTTTCTTCTATCTCTTGTATTCTGTTGGTAATACTTGTCTCTGTAGTTCCTGTTTCTTTACCCAGATTCTCCATCCCCAGCCTTCCCTTGGTTTGTGTTTTCTTCATTACCTCCATTTCATTCTTCAAGTCTTGAACTGTTTTCCTTACCTGTTTGATTGCTCTTTCTTGTTTCTCTTGTTTTTCTTGGGTATTTTTGAGAGGTTTATTCATTTCCTCTACCGTTTTGTTTGTCCATCACTATTTCTTCATGGCAATTTTTCACCTCCTGTTTAAGGTCCATTTTCACATAGCTCCATTTAAAGTCGATATCTTCTATTTCTTCTGGAGTAGGGTGTTCAATTCTTCTTGTTTTGGTATCTTTAGATTCTGGTGATGTCATGTTGCCTTTCAGGTTGTTGCAGGAATTCTTGCATTGGCACCAGCCCATCACTTCCTTCAAATGAAGCCAGGAGAGGCCTGGTGTCTTGGTCTAGTCTTTGCTGTGACTGATTCTCTTGGTGAATCTCCTCAGTGTAGAAGCAGGAACTGTTCCTGTCTGTATGGAACTCCTCAGCACTATCCAAATGGAACTCCTCAGCACTGAAACAGGGACGCCTGGTAGCCTAAGGACCTGCAGAGAAAAAGGGCTAAGGTAGGGAACAAGGCGGGGTCGAGTAGAACACAGGAGACCCTGCATCACAAGCTGAAGGTGCCCACACTTCCTTGCTGGGGACCTTCAGGCCTGCCTGGTAGGCAGGCACTCACCCCCTGGGTGGGTAGCCTTGGTGCAGGAGCAGGAAACTGTTCCTGAGCCAAGGACCTTGCAGACAGGTCCTTGGGGGGTCTAATTTGTATTTCTTAACTATACATTGCATCTTTAAATGAGCTGCACAAATATAATACCTTAAACAAGAACACACATACACACACACACACACACACACACACACACACACACATATATATATATATATATATATATATATATATATATAACAGTTGACCTTAAATTTTTATCATTACTTCAAAATCTATACAAATACAATGTATTATCTCTGTATCATGGCTCCTTTAAATGTAAACAAATGTTTATAAGCAATATTGGGGAATTTGGTAGTAGTTCTCTCCATACTGCTTCCTACTTTTTGTTTGTAGGGATCTCTGCATGGGCTTGCATCAGCCCCTGGAAGAAGCCTCTTTAATAACAAGTAGGCTAAACAGCAATCTATGATAATAGCAGAAAATAGTTATGAATCATTTCATTGATATTTTTTTCTTGGTCAAATGTATTTGGTTCTACCCCTGTTCTGAGCCATTCAATTTCTGGTTCCTGGCCATCTAGGCAGTGTCACTTATGGACTTCCTCTCACAGTATGAGTTTCAAGTTAGACCAGTCATCTATTCGCCACTAAGAAAGCTCTAAGCCACCAGTGTCCCAGCATATCTTGCAGGTAGTACAAGTGTGGGTTGAATGTTTTGTGGCTGGCTTGGTGTCGCAGTTCCACTGGGAACCTTATGTGGTTACAGAAGATGGCTAGTTCAGCCTCCTCTTGAGTACTAGGAGTCCTCACTAGGGTTACCTTTGTAGGTTCAGGAAAGTTTTCGCTATACTGTTTCTACATCCCCTGTTAAAAGTTCCCCTATTCCAGTTATCTCTCCCTGTCTTCTCCCCATCTGTCTTTTCTTCACTCACATGATCCTTCCTGTTCCCATCCCCACCTGCCTCCACTGCACCGATAAAATCTGTTTTATTTCTTCTTACCAACGAGATGCATTCATCTCTTGTAGAGCTGTTCTTGTTACTTAGCCTCTCTGTGTCTATGGATTGTACTGTGATTAACTGTGATTACTGTGATTATACTTTACTTAACTGGTAATATCGACCTCTAAGTAAATACATATCATGTTTATCTATGTGATTCTGTGTTTCCTCACCTAGGATATTAAAGAACTTAAAAAACTAGACAACAACAAACCAAATAATCCAATTATAATGGGGAACACCTCTAAACAGAATTCTCAGTAAAGGAATCTAAAGTGACTGAGAAACACCTGAAGACATGTTCTACATCCTTAGCCATTAGGGAAATGAATATCAAAACTATGTTGAGATTTCATCTTACAAGTCTTAGAACTGATAAGGTCTATAAGACAGGTGACAGCTAATGCTGGCAAGGACATATAGCAAGGGGATTCATTGCTGTCACAAGTGCAAACTTGTACAGCCAATGTAGAAATTAATATGCAGTCCTCAGGAAATTGGGAGTCAATCTACCTCAAGACAAATCTATACCACTCTTGAACATATACCCAAAAGATACTACCACAAGGACATTTGCTCAACTGTGTTCATAGTGGCTTTGTTCATAAAAGCCATAAACTGCTATATCTGGGAGAGATTGTGTTGATTGATGATTGATGTGTGATGGCTCCTCCACTGTGGGTGGCAATATCTCTAAGAAAGTGGGCTTGGGATACAAAAGGCACCAATCTGACTAGGCAAGAAAGAAAGCCATGAAACACTCCTTGTCCATGTATTTTTGCCTTCAATTATTAGCTTGCTTTTCTATCCTAAGCTCCCAAAATGATGAAGCCAAATTACCCCCACTCTTTTTCTGAGCTGCTTTTCATTAAAAGATTTAATTGGTGATATATAAATGCAAGATAGAACAAAAAATGGAGAACCAAAAGTAATATTGTTGCTAGACAGAACCTGGGAATGATGTCTCTTTGAAGAGTATAGAAGATATCAAAACTTTAGGTGGCAAAAATATTAGAAAGTAGTACACAGAATTAATTAGCTGTTCTTGTAGGATCAGAAAGATGGAAATGTTAAGAGAGATGACAGAAAGTGGAGATTGAAATCATAGAATTTCAGTTGAAATTGATTAAGCTGGAGGTTATTTGTGTGATATTTTGGCTCCAAAATATTTCTTTTTCTGCCTCTGACCTGGAAATTTAGTAAAGCAGAATTTAAAAAATATGAGCTAATTCCTTAAATGGAATATTGAATGTGGTGGATGGTTATTACTGATGATTCATTCAAGACTATAGTGAAAAATAAACACCAAGTGGAGCAGAAATAAATGAAAATGAAAAGGCAGTTTCTTATGGCAGTCAATTACTAGAACAGGCAGGGATTTTCGAGGATTTTATCACCATTATAGAGAAGGCCCTTGCTATAGAATGGAAGCCTAGCAAGGTGCTCTAAGGGTAAGACTCCATTCACATAAGCATTCAACTTATGGAAGGCGTAAGCAAAGTGATTCTTAACCGTAACCCTAAACACATTTTTCTTCTTTGGTTACCATGAGCCTATTGTGACCCAGGTCAGGATGTAATTGATTGAATGAAAACCTCTCATATAGGAAGATGTATTTGAACATCTCCCTCTTCTTGTCAACTTTCATTTGATTGCTTGTGAATCCAGCCAGAGGAGGAGCCTTTCTGGATGAAATTCCTCACTGGACATGTGATATGAGTTTCTATCGCCTCAACCTATTCCCTGTTCTTTGTGCCTGCTATATTGTGGTTGAAACTAATCAGTCAGCTTTCTTCTTTTGCTGTCATGACTTTCCTACCATTATAAACTCTATCACCAAATCACATAAGATTCAGCAAAATTAACTGCTATTTGATCCTAAGACAGTTTGGATCATTTTTGTTTGTTTATTTCTGAATACAAGATTTGTCTGTATAGCCCTAGATGTCCTGCAAGTTGCTGTGTATACCAGGCTGGCTTCAAACTCAGAGATCCCCTGACCCTGATTCCCAAGTACTGGGATTAAAAGTGAGCCTTGATTTTTTTTTTTGTTTTTATATTGTTGTATGATGGTTTTGTTCCTATCAAGCATATACTGAGCTTCACCCATATCTTGAATTTTAAAATTTGACAGAGGGTATCATTATGTTTCCCAGGATGGCATGTATTCATGACATTGACACTGGTTGTGCTTTCTGAGTCATTGGATTGCAGGTGCATCACCTTCTTCCGTCCTGTTTTGTTTTGTTTGAATTTTTATTTTAATATGAGTATTTACTTGTACATGGATATGTACCATGTGAGTGCCTGATCCTTACATTGATTAAAAGATGGAACTAGGAACCGTGAACTTGGAATAATGAATAGTTGTGATCCCCCCATGTAATTCCTTGAGTCAGACCAGGAGTACTCTTTACTGTTGAAACATCTTTCCTGCTCAGTGTTGATTATTTGTAATCAAGATATATATTTGATACTTTCATTTGTCCAATTATGACTTTTTAAACGTCCAGTGCCTTTTAGTAAAATCTTATTTATGTTGCAGTTTAAATTGAGACACTTCAGGTTTCTCATAGATGAATAAAGAGCTGGAGTAAATAGATAACTCTTTTCAGGAACTACAGCAAAAACCTCTGAGTTCTTTCTATCTTTTATGTTTGTTTGATTGACTTTTAAATGGAAACAGATCCTTAATATATATTTATGGCTGTCCTAGAAGTGATTGCATGGACTAGGCCATTCAACTCAGAGGCAGATAGATATATGACTCTGCCTTCTGAGTGCAAGGATTAAAGGCATGATTCAATACACCCAGTTTGACTATCTTTTTTTTCTTTTTTTGTTAGAAATTAATCATCCATACAATTTCTCTCATTTGTACTCTGTACTGTTGATCTGTTTACTTATCTTTTATTGTTTGTTAATAGGCATTTCAAAGGGTTCATAAATTACAGAGGTGAATCTTCCATTCAGTTTGTTTCTAAAGTGACTTGGTAATTAAATTATGTCTATTTCATAGAATAAGTATGGGGAGCACCAAAGTTATATGACTATACTGTCAAAGAAGTATACATTTGCAGTGTTGTCAAAGTCATGATTTCTGTTGTACAAATGTATGGAATATTTTAGAATGCAGTGACCTATGATGATGTACATATCAACTTCACTTGGGAAGAATGGACTTTGCTGGATCCTACCCAGAGGAGTCTCTACAAAGATGTGATGTTGGAAACCTACGGAAACCTTACTAGTATAGGTAAGACTGAATTATATTTCATGTTTTATAATAAGGGGACAGTTGTTCATTGGTAACTGGTGCTCTTTTGTAATATGATTGAGGAAGAAGAAGAATGAAATGAATAAATCAGGCATGGCTGTAAGGTTCAATACAAATGGTAACTAATTTTTTTTACACATTTCAATATATAACATACATATTCTGGCATTATATTTTAGGATACAGTTGGGAAGACCATAATATTGAAAAACATTGTCAAAGTTCTAGAAGACATGAAAGGTAATTTTCATGTGTAAGCTGATAGAATTGTATCTCTGAAGAATGTGTAATGCATCCTGTAAGCTTTAAACAAAAGCAACAGTGTAAATACTAAAGTGCATTGATGAATTTTAAATTCTCACAAAATCATATACCTTAATTTCAGATAAGTGAACTGCATTTGCAAGCCATTCTTTTAAGAAGGAAGATAAGGAAACAATGTCTTAACCTATATTAAAATTTGAGTCATAATATGATGAGAGCTATATTGTAGAATTATCAATCCATTTATTTCATGAATATATATATATATATATATATATATATATACACACATATTGAAAAGGTGATAAGTATCTCTCTAAAACTCTATTATACTAATAATCCATAGAAAAGGTAGTTTAACTCATAGACTTGTGACTGCAAAGTTTAGTGAGGGGGCAGTTAAAGTCAACAGTCAAGGGGCAGCTGTTATGGAGAGGCCTTAATCCATATACCACAAGTCTATGAACATAAAGTCAAACTGTGTGAACTCAATGTGGAAACCTTATATTTGTTATTTTTCTTTTACTAGGTATGTCATATGTTAGTCTGGATACAAGCCCCATGAGCATAGGGATGTGAAAATAGATAACATACCTTTTTCTCAGAACAATTAGAAGATATGTAGCGGTCCCCATGTTGAATATACTTGTTGCATTTGTTGGACAAGTATATAAGTAATTGGTTTTCTCGCCTCATTGTTAATATATCAGTAAGCTCACATTTCAGAAAAGCATCATGAGTACTAGGACTGTGTAAGTACTTCTGTTTGTCATAGTTCACTTACCAAATGTAGTATCACTCACAATATAGGAAACTTTATGAATGCAACAAGGGTGGTGAAGTTCTGAGATTTTTCAGTTCTCTTCAAATAGGTAAAAATTCTCATATAGAAAAAAGATTCTGTAAATGTGAACCATGTAATAAAGGTTGTTATCTATTGTCTTCAAAGATGCAAAACAAGCCTTAATGAAGGGGAACAACAAGATTGTAAACATGGTGATAAAACCTTAAGATATATTTTCTCTTTAAAATTGGACCAAATTGTAAAATTAATTCATACAGATAAAAATATTCAACAATGAATGTGCTAATTCTTTAACATGTCCCACTATCATTACAGGCATGAAAAAAGTCAAACTAGAGAGAAAACATCTGTATATACTCAATGTGTTAAAGCCTTCACATGTGACAGTCATCTACACAGGTTTGAAAGAACACATACTAGATTGAAACCCTTTGAACATAAAGAATGTGGTAAAGCCTTTATACATCACAGTCCTCTTCAGATACATAAAAGAACACATACTGGAGAGAAGCCCTATGAATGTAATCAGTGTGGAAAAGCCTTTGCATATCACAGTAGTGTCAGAAAACATGAAAAAAGCCATACTGGAGAGAAGCCCTATGAATGTAATCAGTGTGGAAAAGCCTTTGCATATCACAGTAGTCTCCAAATACATGAAAGAAGCCATACTGGAGAGAAGCCCTATGAATGTAATCAGTGTGGAAAAGCCTTTGGACAAAACAGCCATCTTCAACGTCATGAAAGAACCCATACTGGAGAGAAGCCCTATGAATGTAATCAGTGTGGAAAAGCCTTTGCATGGCATGGTTATCTACAAGAACATAAAAGAATACATACTGGCGAGAAGCCCTATGAATGTAATCAGTGTGGAAAAGCCTTTACACGTCATAGTAGTCTCCAAATACATGAAAGAAGCCATACTGGAGAGAAGCCCTATGAATGTAATCAGTGTGGTAAAGCCTTTGCATGGCATGGTCATCTACAAGAACATAAATGAACACATACTGGAGAGAAGCCCTCTGAATGTAACCATTGTGGAAAAGCCTTTGCACGTCAGAGTCATCTCCAAATACATGAAAGAAGACATACTGGAGAGAAATCTAATGAATGTAATTAGTGCGATAAAGCCTTTGCTTATAGCATAGTTATTTTGAATGTGCCCCAATGCCTGTGTTATAGGAACGAATGCTTATAAGAGAGAAAGTTGCATGTGTGAAAAATTGTTTGTTTAAAGAGTTGTTTTAATTGTAATTGTGTGATGTCATTATATGTTTGTGTGAGTATGTAAAGTTTTCATGTTTGCTTCTGAGAATGTTTGACCCTCGAATCTTCTTGTAGCAAGAATTACAGGAAGTTGTCAAAAATTAGGCCTTGGTTCTAGGAATGAATATTTCTTAATTGCCCAGCCATGTTTCTAGTGCTGTAAATATTTTAAAGCCTGTTTGTATCATGTTGAAGTCAAGAAATAGGGATAAACACATATGAGAGAAAAACTCTATTCCTGAAAATGATTTTGCAAAGACGTTGGACGTCACAGTTGTCTTCAGCTTCAAGAAAAAAAAAAACATGTTTCATTTATTTTTGTAATAGCCTTGAAGGAAGTAAATTAGAGCCATGTTCACTGAAGACTGATGTTAGAGATCACTTCATTGTGGTTTCTACTTTGAAACATTTGAGGTAGATACTAAAATGTGCTTCATGTGTGACAAATTCATTTCTTGCCTCTAAGACTTTCCAGAAATTAGAAAAATCACAAATCTTGCTTTATCAAGAGTTGCTGTTTGAGTGTAGCCTATGTTTGGCTTCAGAATATGTGAACTATGAGGGAAAGGGTACTGGAACATGCACACAAGGGACACCATATTTTGGAAGAGGAACAAAAAGTGCTCTGAGAGACTGGAAAAGTTTCTACTAAAATACCAATTTTTCAAACTAGAGCCCTGTGTTTCCCTAGGGTGTAATGGCAGAGCTGGGAAGGGCTGTGCTGGCTTAGTAATTTGATTTCTGCTCATCTAGTAAGGGAACTGCTACTGTCTTGAGGCTCAGCTGGGCAAGTCTAGCTCTTGAGGGACTCTGGGCAAGCCTAGCAATCAGGAGAACCAGTGGGAAATAGATTGTGATCTATGAGGGAGCCAATAGGGAGCCATGTGAGTTGTTTTTCTTTTTCCCTAAATTGTATATTTTATTTCTACCTCCAGTTCTTATCCCACCTTCCTTTGAAGAGGTAATACTAACTACCATTATGTGACTGGGGAATGACTGTTCTGGTTTGTTTCAGCTGATTTTTTTTAAATTTATTTATTATGTATACAGTATTCTCAGTATTCTGTCTGCATGTATTCCTACAGTTCAGAAGAGTGCACCAGATCTCGCAATAGATGGTTGTGAGCCACCATGTGTTTGCTGGGAATTGAACTCAGGACCTTTGGAAGAGCAGGCAGTGCTCTTAACCACTGAGCCATCTCTCCAGCCCCTAAGCTGAATTTTTTTTTGGCATCAGGTGGTAGTATTATGGTACCCTTCCATAGAGCCTCTCATAAAGACCAAAGTCTCAGATGTAGACAGAGTTGTCTGGGAAGCACTAACATATCCAAAGTCCATAAGACATTCTTGACGGACTCACAATAGCTTCCATCTGTTAGAGGATTCCACTTAACTTCTACAGTTGGACTCAAGAGTGATGAACCCACAACCAACTGTCACACCATTTTATACCTGTTTCATCAGCCAGAAGTCAGCATGATGCCCTCCCCATGTGACTTCTGGATAGGGAGAAGAGAGGTATTTAGTATCATTTAATTTGGAGGTTAAAACAATCCTGAGCCTGTCCTTCTTTGCTGTGTGCAGGTGTTCTAGGAGCCAAGGTCTGATGTCTCACATCCGTAGAGAATCTTTTTATCAAGAAAATATTACTGAGATTGGCTATCTAACTAACATCTCATGTAGACTTACATCTAATGTCCGTGGAGTGTGAACTGTTGTGTTGTTAGCAATCCTCTTATCCTTTCATTAAAATTTCTTGTTGAGTACTAAAGGCCAATGCAGGTGTCAAAAATTAATCTTTCTTTCTGTGTTGTCAAGGCCAGTTGAGCATCTAGTCTTTAGAGGTCACTTGTGCTTGGAAGGAACCTCAGATTCTTCATGTCTCTCTGTTATCAGTTGTCCATCAATGTGAGGATAAGTCAAAAGCTTTGCTTTATGTACTGTGGCTTCCTTTGAAGCCTTGAAGAAATCTTTCCCACATTGATCCTCCTTTTGTACACTTGATAATGATTCCAATTCATTGATTGGGTTCTCCATGGCCTCCATGAACAGGACAATAAATGATCAATAGATAGCCTTTGTTCCTATGGACCTCACTGATCTTGTATAGAAATGAGAGAAATATTCCCCCTTTTGGTCCCTGTAATGACATAAGAATAGCCTCTAAGAATGATTATTAAACACTAGAAGATCAGTTTTATACTAGTTTTGTACTTTTAACTACTTTATAATACTTCAGGAGTCAGACACAACTCAATAAACTTTCTTTGGCACACCTTTCAACCACTCCTTGAAATAGTTGGAATCTGACCTTGCAAACTTTAATAAATAAATGATTCCTAAGTCTCATCCTTATGTACCTTAAACAACTTACTCAGACCTTCATAGCTTGTAAGACCTTTCCAGTCTTCTTTATTCTGGAGCCATCTAGTCTTAATCTTGGTCATACATCTAAGTCCTTTTTTACTATGGTCATTTACATATTTATGTTCTTCTAGCATGTTCTTTTATGTACTTCTCCCTTTTTGCTAATATCATAATTACATAGGAACATTAACAAATATGTTTATGATCTGTTGTGAGAATTTTCTCCCCCATGGAAGGGGCAGAAGCAATTTCTATCCCATAACCATAATTCCCAATGAAGATACAAAGTACAATTTCACCAAAGTCCATCCTGGGGACCAACCAGTGAGTTTATTGAGCTTACTTACTGAGCATGGTTGAGAAGGTACATAAAAGGGGTTTTGATTCTGTGGTTGTTTGAATCAAAATGACCCCCAAAATCCCATGGAGAGGCACTATTAGGAGGTGTGGCCTTGTTGAACTATGAAATAATCACTTTCTGCTGCCTGCTGATCTGGATGTAGAACACTCAGCTCTTTCTCCATGCTTTCTGCCATGATGATAAT